GTGACTCAAGTCTTGCCAAAAATGTTTTTTATTAAATATATTAAAAACACTAAAATGACAAATATAAACTACATAAAAGCTGTTCAAAATCTAAATTGTGAACTTTGACTAAGAACATGGACACAGTGTATAGTGATATGACTATACTATTCCATGTACTTGTGTGTAGTGGGGGGTGGCAGTAAGTGTTATCGTGCATTTATCGTTATCTAGGTGAACTAGTCAATATATCGTGATATTGATTTTAGGCCATATCGCCCAGCTCTAATATGAATCCTTATTAGTTTTTATTAGAGCACAACTTTCAAGTAATAATTTTCATCACTGTTTTCACAACAGAATGTGTAAATATTTGTGTGTGTGTATGTGTGTGTGCGTGTGTGTGTGTGTGTGTGTGTGTGTGTGTGTGTGTCATCACCGTGCTGCCACTCTTAATCTCCACTTCTTCTGGATAATCAGCTCTGTAAAGTTCCTTTAAGTGCCTTCCCGCTCTCTATCCAGGCTAAATCTGCTCTAAGAGCTCGGCTGGATATTGAAGAGACTCCTTCTGCCACCTTCTTCAGTTCTCCTTTAATCCATTTGTTCCTGCGCTCCAATCACTTAACTCTGCCTCAATCTCACCAGCAGGCTCTCTTCTGCTCCTTAGTGCTGTGTGATGACACATAGTGAGAGGCGCGCACACACACACACTGATGAGGAGCAAAGGGTTGTGCTGACTGATAGCGCCCGACCTGTCCCTCTCCAGCAGCAGGAGGGGCTGACCTCACAGGAAATGATCACAAGGAGAAGATGGAGAGAATTGCAGGTAGTGTGAGAGGAGGGTCAGGGAGAGAGCTGCAGATCTTTGTCTCTATGACTCATGACTCTTCAGACTGGACAAGTGGGGCCCACTGAGTGGAGAGCAGGCTTCTCGAGTGGACAGAGCAGGAGTGGGCGGAGAACTTGGAGACAGCGGTTCTTCTGATGATGCCTTTTCTTAGTAATGGACTTCCATCTGCCCAACCACCCAGACCTTCCTGTAAATCACTCTGGGTTTGTCGCTTCTACCTGCACCTCACAGATTGAAAGAAAGGCAACAGACTAGTGCTTCTGCTCACAGTGCAATCAGTTTGTCTGTAAAGTTAAAACAACAGTTTAACAGTTTGGGAACCGCGGGGAGTCTGTTTTACGTTTGGACTAGTTGCCAAAAAATGAGTGAGATTTCATTGATCTTACAAAATAAAGGAGCTTCAGAATAACAGTAGAACTCATAGTTTCACAGAGAATATTTGAAGGGCCGAGCAAAAAAACTTGCAGGTAGATTTTGCTACATTTGAGCTTACTAGGGAAAAATAAACCAGCTTTATTTTTTTATTTGTACAAAAAATCACATGCTTTTACTCGAGAAACAGTTCTTACATGACGTTCAAAATTAGACCAACCAACAAAAGGGTGTGTTGTGTTTAGTCTTTAGCCTGTTTGGTTGCTGTGCACTGTTTCACCTTGGTTAAGCCTACAGAGGTTTCACTGCTCAGGGCTATTCAGGTCAGCTGCATATGAGCATTTGTTTCCTGCTTCAGCTCTGAGAGCGGCAGCACGTGTTCCTGATTGTCAGTCAACACACATAACCCCATTAGAAGCATTGGCACCATGCACTTGCTAATGCTTTGTAAATTTAATGATCGTCTACAGGTACTGGACTGCTGGAATAAAACTGATTATTTAGTTTTCTTTGTATCACTCTATCAGATCAGGTCTATTCCTTGGTGGAATGCAGATCACCAGTGTTTTAGACTAAAACCATCTAATGATGAGATGGGATGGAGGTTTAGCTGTTTGGGTCAAAGCTTGTAAATGATGAAATGCTCAATCTCAACGGATTCTTCAAAATGTAAATTATGTGTTGGAGATCGCTCTCAGCCTGGCTTTTAAAGGAACGTTTTGATGCCCACTTCGGTGTTGTGATGCCCAGTTTTAGTTTTGTGACACCCTATTCCTGTGTGGAACAGCGGATTCAACGAGATTTAGGTTCAGGTTCAGGTTCAGGTTCTGGTTCAGATTTATTCGGGTCTCAAAAGGGCAATTAATGTTAATGTTAACAGACATCTGGACACAGAATAAATGGCACCAGGCTTGAATAGAGGAGGTGGGTTGTGACTTTACAACTAGCAATCATGGTCCTTGTCCGTAAGTTGTCTTTACCCCCTGGTCTTTAAGTTGTTGAATCTTCATTAGCATGTGGGTTGTTAATGATGGGACCAGAGCCCTAAAGTGTCCATGCCTTTTTCCACAAATCTACGTAAAGATAGGGGTGTACCAGTAAATTAGCCAGCCAATTTATCGATACAGAGTTCTTTCATTTTGGGAGATCAGAGATCGGCAGGTACTTAGATAAGATCGGTGGAAAAGATCGGCGTCTCATTGACTTTCACAAAGGTGTGAAAATTAGCCACTGTTTCCTTTTGCTCTGCTGTGAGCACTAATGCCCAGTTAAAACAAGTTTGTATTGTTTCAATGGTATTGTTCATTGATTTTCAGTAAAATAAGATTGGGACGTAGACGTTGTATTGTGACCTTATAACACCTGACAGTGTCAGCTATTCAAAAAAAAAGTACTGACCAAAATCAGAATCGGCAGGTCAGACTTTTTAAAGATCTGTGATAAAAAACAAACATAGACCCCCACAGGTAAAACGATATCACCTTTAATGACATGTAAGCCAACCCTGTGTGAGTTTTTTCCCTCATTATTAATTAGTTCATCCTATTTTCGCTCAATTCAATTAATGCATCCATTTCTCCATGAAGGCAACAGTTGTCTTTCCATATGGTAATTATTTACAGCCTGAGCTAAAACTTGGCTGAGTTTACCTGTAAGATCCACACGTTCATGTGTGCACTCTAACATGAAGCGCTTCCTGCTTCCCACAGAGTGGAAACTAACCGAAATAAAACATGTTCCTCTGCTGTTAGAGATGCACACAGGCTCAGTGCTTAGAGCTGTTTATGCATCAGCAGGAGTACCTCAGATATGTCTTTTCTGATAAAAGATGTGGTATTCAGCAGTGTTTGTGCATGTGTGTGTGTGTGTGTGTGTGTGTGTGTGTGTGTGTGTGTGTGTGTGTGTGNGTGTGTGTGTGTGTGTGTGTGTGTGTGTGTGTGTGTGTGTGTTTGTGAGTTTGGTCAGAACCCCTGGTGTTAGTTCAGCCTGCCAGCAGATGCTACAATATCTGTCCCCGTTTCTGCAGTGAGAACTAAAGATATGGAGTTGGATCAGGTAATCAAGCTTCCTCTCGACCACGCTCCTCCTTACTTTTAATGAAACTTGAAAAAAAATCAGTGGTCCAAACATTTAGATTTGAAATGCGTTGACAATGTATGTTACCTAAAATGCTTTGCAGCACTGTTGGATTGATGGCAGAGTTTTTTTTCTCTCCCCTGTTGAAAAACAGGCGGTGAGCAGCCACACACTGAGCCAATGCCGGGAACTGTCCTTGGTCCTGACATGAGCCAATGACACTCAGCAACAAACTGCATCAGCAGAGCTATCCATTGTGCTGAATGGGGACTTGCAGGGTTCTTTGTCCTCCCATTACTTCTCGTCACTCGGCCTTAGAGGGGGATTTGCATTCAGAGTGCAGGGAAATTGGAAGGGTGGGCAAATGTGAAAGGGCACCAGGGGACGTGACAGCTTGTCACAGCTTTGATAAGGCGGAGCAGAGATTGATGAGTGACGGATGGATGTGGTTGAGATATGAGACGCTTGTCTACGATAATGCTAAAGAGTGATGTTTTAAACATTTTATTCATTAAAGAATCAAAATATAGTCCTGTTGTAGCGCTGGAGGAAATCAGTTCTTATAATCAGATCCTACAGTTCACATCTTTCACTTATTACTACAAGCACTGTGAAGATTACCTGATTTGTACCAATATAGGGACATGTACAACCATGTACAGATGTGGTTTTAGGATTAAATGCATCAGTTCATTAAATTTTAGCACCAATAAAATCTGATCCATTGTTTAAGCATTTATCTTTCTGCTGCTTATGTATCTTCATTCAATTAGGTTGGTGGCTGTGTATTAAATGTGCCACACTGGCCACAGACCAGAGATGAAAAACCTTCTTTTTCTTCAACCTACATGAAAATCTTATCCCATTTTTTGCATAGAACATGTAAAATGTCGTTAATGGATACACATCTCAATTAAAAGTTTAAATATTTGGGGGAAAAAAGCACATTTGAGCTCTGCAGCTCACTTCTTGTTTGATGAGGCTACTTTAGCTGCTGTAATACAAACGTAAGTTCAAAATTATATTTGAGACACACACAATAAAAACACAATAATACGTACAATATTTAATCACAACTGTATGTTTTTTAATTTTTTAAAAGTATCTAAGCAATTGAAAAAAGGCGTCTGTTTTGAACAAAGCTGTGTGCGAGCTTAGTATTCATTTACTGGTTTTAAGCTAATTCACCAATTTTCTGCTTGTGTCTATAACTATTTGACACAGCAGTCATGCTAAAACACACACACACACACACACACACACACACACACACACACACAC